TTCCCCTGAAGATCAAATGGCCCCCTGACTCAGACATGCCACTTTGTCAGTGTCCACTAGAGGCAGGGATACTGACTCCTGGTCACAAAATCTCCAGGGACTGAGACCTCATCTGGTGGCCCAACTCATTGATGGATGATGAGACATGTCTCTGCTAGGTAGGTTGAACAGCTGAGCTACCCTTACTAGTACACTTTTTCCCTATGGTTGTTAAACAAGCAAAGGCAAATTTATCGTGTTTGTTTAGTGAGCATAGCTTCAGAACAAGGGGCGTGAGTGGGTTATGTTATCTGAATGTAAAATGGCACCAGGCCCCAATGGGTTGCCGAGTTTATCTCTATAATTAGGACATAGACCTGCCCAGCAGACTTGCTGCATTGGCCTACGAGGGCACCGTTTCCTGACCAAGTTGGGATGGACACTGCCTACGTTTCATCTGGACCTCCTTTTCCCATGCTCTCATGCTTGACATATTTCTGTAGAGGGGTACATGTTTAGCACCCACCTATTGGAGTTGGAACAGTAGAATTGGAGTTGGCTAAGGAGACTTAAGTTCGAGTCATGGTGTTCCACTGAGCTGAGTCATTGAACTATGTGACCTTGGGCACCTCTGCTAACCTTGATTGCTTATCAAGAAAATAAGGATAATGAGAGTACCTTCCATGCAGGCACTTTCCGTGCTTCCTTACTACAGTGCTGAGCACCTCACTGTCTTCCCTACATAGTAGCCATGCTTTAATTTTTACAGAATAGTAAAATGGCTCTTTTCTAAGCTTCCTACCAATTCAATAACAACAACAAAATGTCAAAAAATATAAGCATGCGTCTTGACTATGAGGATAATGAAAGCCTATTTCAGGAAACACAAGGTGTCTCTTTAAGGCAGGCAGGGGAGCCCTCTGCCAGACTGTCCTCAGTGATTTGGGACAAGCCCACCTTTACTTTACGGAGGTTGGCACCCCTTCTGAGGCCACTCCTATTGTTTGGACTCCATGCACCCTCCGTCTGTACTTCAGAGTTCAGACTTCCCATGACTCCCACACCCCAAGAGCCAGAGAGACAGTGTGGTCTTAAAGAGGGGCAAGCGCCATGAATATGCTCACTTGGAGATCAATACCAGCACTCCTGGTTTACCTCACACAGGGACTTGACACGAAACCTTCTCCCAGACAAATGAACCTCTGGAGGGGAGCTAGAGATCCTCAGATCTTGGGCCAGCCTCATTTCCTTGGCTCCATTCTCCCAGGCCCAGCAAGCAGATCTTCCACATGTTCTCTATATGGCTGTAGGACATCACTTGCTGGCCAAAGTCCCCCAAATATTCTAGGCAGTCTGCCTGCCCTGATAGAAATGTGGGTGTTCTCCCACATGGGAAACCCACTGTGGCAGAAGGTATGTAAGCACACCTCCAATCCAAGTCATCGAGTTGGCGAACATGAATGAGTGTGGTGCTTACCCCAGTTCGGGGTCTTTTTTGTTGCTATTCCTAAATCAGGGCCAAGGTCTTTCTCCTTAGGCCCTCACAGCCTCTGCTCCCCCACCACGCTGCTTCCACATCCAAGAAAAGAAGTTATCTGACATGAGATCTCTCCATGTTCATTTTTATTTAAAGACTCAGAAACACAGGCATCACAGTTTTGTCATCACTGTAAATTCTTCCAAAATCACACGCTGACATTTGTGTCTGACAAAAACATTTGTGTGTGTGTGTGTGTGAACTGTGCAAAGTACAAAGAATTTCTCAGTCAGTCAGCTGAGCTTGGGGCACACAAGACTAGCATTCACATCACAAGGCAGCCAAGAGAATGCATTTTGTCCACAGCAAGCACTCGCACACCGTCCCCCCGCCTACCTTCCTTCCCTTGGCTCAACTCATGCATCTAAGGGCCCTCAGCCCTCTGGTGGCCTGGACTGTTTTCTCTAATGTCGGTTTCCACTGGCTCCACTCACTAGTGGCTGTAGACACTACACTGTGCTCTCAAAGCAAAGCGCCTCGGCCACCAAGATGTTAGTCTTCAACTAACATGTATAAACTGCTGGGTCAGGTTGGAACATGAGGATTTCAAACATGGTATTGGTTTCATCTTAATAGCCAGATAGCCCTTCACGGCAAGATGGCCCAAAGAAAAGGACTCATTCTACTCTTGCTCTTCTCTGAGGTCAAATCTTCATGGTTGGCAGTGTGTGTTTTCAAACGCTCATCACGAAGCATTTTGCCTGATTGTGCATTTTTCCTGCTTTCTGGCAGCCAGGCATTGGATCCCAGGGAACCCCGTAAGAGAACGGCCCTGGCACTGGCTGGACTAGGATGCCAAGGCATCGTGCTGCTGTGAGTTTTCCTTCTTCCTTCCCAGGTGTAACAATGTCTATCCACTGACTCTCTGCCACGAGAGGGGACCAAGTGATGTCTCCCAAAGACATCTGGCTACTTGACCCAGCTCTCAACTAGGAAGGGTATGGGGTGTTCAGGCCCCTAAGGGCTGTTACCTTTCCCCACATCGATTAGGTTTTTGACCACATTTCCCAGTAAGCACCAGCTAAGCAATCGGCTGCTAACTGAAAGGTTGGCGGTTTGAATCTACCCCGCGACTCTTGGGGAGAAAGACCTGGCGATTTGCTCTCGCAAAGATTACAGCCTAGGAAACCCTATGGGACACTTCTACTCTGTCACACGGGTCACTATGAGAAAAAATGGATTTGACACACCTAACACGGCCAGCACCATGTGGCCAGTGGCTGGGAGAGAAATTATAGTCCAAATTAGTCTGCTCTGTTACTTGGTAGCTGCCCTAGTTATTTTTTTAAAAGATTTTCCTTATTATCTGGAAACTTGAGTTAATTCTGGTTTTACTGGAGAACAACTGGCTCAATCACTGTGTTAATTCATGCTCGTTCTTGGTGGCAGTATGATTTTGAACACGCACATGATTTTTGTGCATGTTAGGCAAGTAATTTGGCAACCGATGGCGAAAAGATACTTTGTGGGTTTGATTAGCTCAGCACACAGGGCTCCCTATGTTTAGACCAGCTTTTTCTTCTTTGTTTCAGAACAAATTTCTTAAATCTATTTTCATCTGGAATGAGAAAAACAGCCTCTCTCTAAGCATGATCTTGAGAGTATGGTAGCCACCTGGCAGTAACAAATAGCCAAGTCACATCTGAAAATAGGAACTCTGAAAATAAAAGCATTCCGTAATTCAAAGGCTTCATGCCAGGCAAGAGACTGTGTTTCTCGAATTTGTTAGATCCTCGAAAACCAGGGAGGCCCTGTGTTACAAAAGGCTAACTTATTCAGCCTAATTTAAGTGAGTGGTTTTTGCAAAAATATACGTAGACAGAGCGGTTACCAATTGAGACTTGAACTGATTAAAATGTATTCCTAAGGTGGGAATCTCTTGAGAATAAAACTGTCTTGCACCACGGCTCCACTAGTCAGTGTTTGCGGGAAGAGAGCTGTTTTACTAATGAGTACGTTTCCTTCAACTTCTGTTAGTTGAAGAGCTCACTCACGGTCAAAGTTGCCCTTTCCGCCTCTCTCTCCTTCCCCAGCTCCCCTTGGAGCTCAACTATTGAACTTGATCCTTGAAGTCTGCATCCATGCATTGAATCTCCTTCCTTCTCTTTATTGTACCTTTAAGTCCCTAGCAGATGAAGGTTTGCATTGCCTGATATGGGAGCATTTATTCTTTAAAAAAAAGAAGAAGAAACCTTTACAAGGTGGTGAATCTGAACTGTGGTAAACACTGTACGTTTCTGTAGCAAGAAATCATGTTTTGATAATGTTAATTGCGGTCGTTCTCTCTGAAGCCATTAACAAAGGAAAATCCCGCCTTCCTGGGCTGGGATGGACCTGCAGTGTTCTTGTTACTGCCACATAAAAGGCAATCACAATGACCCTTCCTAGAAATGTTTCCAATTCTTGAATAATAATGATCACTGTCTAGACAGAGCATGGGGTTTTGGTAAGGGTTTAAAGAAATCAGCTTTTTCCAAACTCTCACCCCACCCCGCAACACACCTAAATGGAGTCTCTCTTACCCCATGGAGCACTAGCCAGCGTTTTGATGTTGAGGACATGGGCTTTTCAGCCTTCTCCAAAATTCATATGGTAAATATAAAAATTCTGTCCATTTGATGTCGCCTCAGACATTGTTTTCTTTCAAGCTCAATGAAGTTTTACAAAAAGGCAGCACCAGATGTATGAAAAAATAGGCAATGTCCAACCTATTAGAAATAGATAGAGTCTAACAGCTTTACATTAAAAAGATACGTCGTAAGAAAGAAGCAGTGGAAAGCGACAGTGGTGGCAAAACCAAAAAATGTTGCTCATAATATTGGCAAGAGACAAAGCTAAAGAGGATGGTGCCCCCATCCCCAGCAAGAGGTGTGTGGGCAGCTTTTCCAGGGACTCCCCGGGGCCCATCAGTCAGCACCCTTCTGGCAAAGCACCTCTCGTTCATGAACACCCTTGCTGAGTGGCCAGGCGGCAGGTTATTGAGGTATATAGAGAGGGTGATGTAGCAACTTGGATTTACCACTTGAACCCCAGGGCAGGCCTATCGAGACATTCTCCAAACTCTCTTGCTCCCAATCCCCACCCTCCCAGCCCCAGACCAAAGGTATCAATACTCCCAGCAGCCCTTCTGCAACCTTCGACCCCATCTTGCATAGGCAGCAAATAAGAACACTGCAGCTCGGCAATAAGTTACAGCAATAAATCAACTCTCAGCATCATCATCTTCTTTTTAAAAGAGATTTTTCTTTACAATTTACACAGAGGGAGTTGGCATTTCGTTGAAGAACCACCCCAGAGTGTGTGTGCTCGCGGCTGGGGCTTGCAGGCGGAAGGCACTACCTCAAAACCCTTTCCCCCCTGGTTGAGGGCACGCCCCCGTTACAGGAACATGGTGCCCATCTGCCCACACGGCCTCCCAAGGGACCTGTGACCCTTGAAGCGGCCCTTTCTTCCCTCTCCTGTGCCATGGTGAGCAGGGGTGTCCTCAGAAGCTCTCGACGAAGCTGCCCGGGAAGAGGCCAGTCCGGCCGTTCCTCTGCAGGGTCCCCTTGTACCAGCCATCCTCACGCTTCTTGTGCACAAAGACAATGTCGCCTTCCTTCAGCTCGATCTCCGCCTCGCTCTGAGGGGGGTACGAGACCACCACGCGGTACCTGGGGGAGAAACCAGAAACCACAGGAGGTGAGCCTGAGACTTCAGAATAGGTGCTGCGTCCCTCCCGGGTCAGCCTTGTTAGGTGGTGGAAGGAAGGGCGAAGGGCCTGCCCCTCTCTGTGGCTCTTTTCCCTTTTAGTGTAAATTGTCAGGATTTGGAGCTACTTTTCGCACTTCTTGGAGCCCTGGTGGCGCAGTAGTTAAGAGCTTGGCTGCTCACCAAAAGGTCGGCAGTTTGAATCCACCAGCCTCTCCTTGGAAACCCTATGGGGTGGTTCTACCCTGTCCTATAGGGTTGCTGTGAGTTGGAATCGACTCAACGGTAACAGTTTTTTTCCCAATATAAATATTTTAAATTTAATGTTTCCCCTTTTTTAATTTTTAATTTTTTTTTAAATTCATTCTCTCACTCTTCAGAATCGTTTTAGACATCCATCTGTCCAGCTGGAATGCTCTCTGTCTAGTGTTCATCTTGATTCGGGCCTCCCTCCCCCGTCCCTCGTCCCTCAGCCCACCCAGCACAGCCTCCATTGCGGATTGCAGCCATTTGCTCCTCCTCCCGGCCCGGACCTTCCTGCCAGAAGACTGTGGTCTCCCCAGGAGTGGGGATGCCCGTTTAATCCTCAGGTAGAGGGGCCGGTGAAGGACAGTGGAGCAGGGGCAGGACACCTCGCCTGCGTCCTCAGTTTCGTCAAGTCCTGGCCTCGCTGTTTTTACCTCTCTGAGCACTGGTTTCTTGATCTGCCTCTTGAGGTGGCTGGGAGCCCATGCCATGTGTGAAGGTGCTTTGAAAAATTCTTTTTTTTGGTAAAATGGTCATTATTTTGTAAACATGCTCCCCAAATGATAAAATACTGTGGCATTGGCACCTGAACTGGCCTAAGACCACATCATAAACAAGGTTCAGTTTTTCATACATTCATTTGCATACGTTTTCCTGCTTCCACTCTCACAGAACCTTGGCCCCCTCCCTGCAGCTCCAAGGCCTCTGCCAGGTCCCCGGTTTCAGACCAACATTTACATAAAAATCGGACCACCTGACCGAGAGATACAAGCGGAAAGGCGTCCTCTATGCCATAGCCTTTGCCTACGGGAGGCTTCAGGAGGTGTAGCCAGCACCCAGCTTTAAGTGCGGGGCCTCCGGCAGGAGCCTGGGGAGCTCCCCCTGCCACATAGCTCCCAGGATCTGAGACTGGATTGGTCCTCTCTGGGTGACACCCTGCCAAGCACCCAGAACATGACAGTCAGCACAGGCACGGCCTGACCAGCACTAAGCAATGACGGCAGCCGGGAATGAAATGCTGACAGACACTCCTAGCAGCGTACCTGCTGGCCTCTGGCCTCTGTACTCCAACTACAGACTCCACTACCACCGCCCCGCCCCAACGCTGGTCCTGCAGGACTCAGGTAAGGAGGCACAAGGGCTGAAGAAGAAGCTATGTTCACCCTGAGGCCCAGCCTTCTTCTCAAACACCACCCTAAGGGGCAAACCAAGGTTTTGCACTCAACTACCAACCTCAAGGTTGGCAGTTTGAACCCACCCAGCAGTGCTGTGGAAGAAAGACCTGGTGATCTGCTTCTGTAAAGATTACAGTCAAGAAAACCCTATGGAGCACAGTTCTACTCTGTAACACACGGGGTTGCCATGAGTCAGAATCAACTTCACAGCAATGGGTTTGGTGTTTTTGCTTTTTTTAAAGGAGCAAACCAGTGAATATTCTTGTGCCCTCCATCACTGCCAGCCCCTGACAGAAAATGCTCCCTCATCCCCCACCTCGCCCCTTCCGCCTGCCTCCTTGCCTCACTCTGGTCCTCTAGGGAACTTATGAGGGGCAATTTGGCCCACACATCGGACCGGGCCCTTGAACCCTCAGACCAAATGGCAACGACTGCCTGTATTTCCAGACAATTGTGCAGGCAGAGCTGAGTGGAGCCTCCCCGCCTTGTCCCAGCACAGTGTGTTGAGAATCTCCAGTACCATGTCCAAGTCTTAACTGTACGGATTTTGTAGCAAGCAGGGAGGGTGGTGGGTGTTATTAATTGATGGGTAGCTGGTCTCAGTCCCTGAAAATCTCCAGTGGAAAGTCACTGAAGAGTAAACTCCTCTTGTACAGACACACGTTTTGCAGAGGAAGTGCTGCAGGGAGGCAGCCCAGCCCAGAGGCTGGCACGGCGGAGATGCCCGGTGGCGGCTTGCTGGGTTGTGCCCGCAGGCTCTGGGCGCTGACTTGGGCTGCCTGGGAAAGCCTTTTAGGGGTCGCCTGAAAAAAGCATTTGCCCAGATCTCTACCGACCCGCCTTCCCTGGGGCATCTCACCCAGCCTCTCAGCTTTAAATACCACCCATACTGATGACTTCCGAATGTGTATCCACAGCCCAGAGCCCTCCTGACAGCCTGCCCTGCTGTACTCTTGCTCCACTCCAGTCTGTCCTCAACTCAGCAGCCAGAGGGAGTCTTTGAAAACAAGCCAGGTCTCATCTATCCTCTGCTCAAAACTCTCCTGCGGTTTCCCATCTCTCAGAGCAAAAGCCAAAATCAGGCGCTGGCCTCTGAGCTCCCTGTGGCCCCTCTGACCACGTGTCCTGCTATGCCCACCCTGCTCACTCCAGCCCACAGGCTCCTTGCTGTCCCTCTGCCTGGAACGTGCTCTCCTGTCATGGCCACGGGGCGTACTCCCTCACCCTGCCATAGGCTCCAATGTCTTTCCCTGCCTCTCCCTCTGGGGGCCACTGGGCAGCATGCTATGTCATTTACCTATTTGTCTTAGTTACTTCCTGCCCCCCACACTGGAATGGGAGCTACATGAGGGCAAGGATTGCTGTGTTTTGCTTATCGCTGTATCTCCAGTGCCTAGAACAGGGCTGGCCTATAGTAGTTGCTCAGTAAACTGCTGTTGGGTTACTTCATTACTGAATAAATGAAGGCGGGAAGGCTGGAGGCCCTTACGTGGGACAGTGAAGGGGGGAGCTTCAGGGTAGGGGCTGGCAGTAGAGGCAGCAGCAGCTGAGTGAGTGCCAGCCAGGGGCCAGGAGCTTCTGCTGTGCGTGGGGCGGATGGGGCGGGGGGGTGGCAGAGGACGAGGAAGGGTCCTGAGGCTTGGCAGTCGGTTCAGTGAAATCTGCAGCTCCACCATTACCTTCCTAATAAATAGCTCCTCCTCCTGGCCCAGCTGCCCTGGCTGGCCTCATGTCACTGATGTACCCAGTCTACAACAGTCCATCAGTCATCTCGCTCCCTGGCTAATGAACCTGGCTGTCACCCCCTTCCTGTGGGCAAAGGCAAATAATAGGAGCTGAAAAGTGCACAGCAGGTGGAGCAGCAGAGAGCAGTTCATCATGCTGTCATCTGTCCCGAAGCTCAGTGGGCTTAGGGGCTGAGGCAGCGGGGCCACCGGCGGGTGGGGGCGAAGGCCGCCCACTGAGAGGCCTGTACTGAGACTCACCAGGGCATCCAGAAAAACACCCCTCTGGCTGTGCCCCAGCTCTCAGGCCTGCAGGTGATGGCTTCTACATGAGGGAACTGCCAGACACACAGGGCTCCGGTTCCTCTGTTGTGTTTTTTTTTTTGAAGTTATAAAAAAATTTTTTTTTATTGTGTTTTAGGTGAAGGTTTACAGAGCACATTAGTTTCTCGTTAAACAATTAGGACACATATTGTTTTGTGACATCGGCTGTCAGCCCCATGACGTGTCAACACTCTCCCCTTCTCGACCTTGGGTTCCCCATTTCCATTCATCGAGCTTTCCTGTCCCCTCCTGCCTTCTTGTCCTTGCCCCGGGCTGGTGTGCCCATTTAGTCTCGTCTGTATGGTTGAGCTACATGTAATATTGTTTGTTTTATGGGCTTGTTTAATCCTTGGCTGTAGGGTGAACCTCAGGAGTGACTTCAGTGCTGAGTTAATAGAGTACCTGGAGGTCATACTCTCGGAGTTTCTCCAGTCTCTGTCAGACCAGTAAGTCTGGTCTTTTTTTGTGACTTTGAATTTTGTTCTACATTTTTCTCCAGCTCCGTCTGGGACCTTCTGCTATAATCCCTGTCAGAGAAGTCGGTGGTGGTAGCTGGGTACCACCTAGTTGTGCTGGACTCAGTCTAGTGGAGGCTGTGGTAGTTGTGGATCTTTGGACTAATCTTTCCCTTGGGTCTTTGGTTTTCCCCATTCTCCCTTCCTCCAGACGGGGTGGGACCAGTAGACGTATCTTAGATGGCCGCTCACGAGCTTTTAAGACCCCAGACACTGCTCACCAAAGTAGGATGTAGAACATTTTCTTTATAAACTATGTTATGCCAGTTGGGCTAAATGTCCCCCAAGACCATGGTCCCCAGCCCTCAGCCCAGTAACTCTGTCTCTGGTTCCTCTTTTGATTCATTGATCCAGGTACTCTTGCAAACCAAAAGGTGGGGGGACATCTGAATCATCATGTTATAGAGATTTGTTTATTGCCCTGGTGGCGCAAATGTTGAAGTGCTCTGCTGCTAAATGAAAGGTTGGCGGTTCGAACCCAGCCAGTGGCTCTGTGGGAGAAAGACATGGCAATCCGCTTCCTTAAAGATTCCAAACCCAAAACCCACTGCCACTGATAGCGACCCATAGGGTTTCCAAGGCTGTAAATCTTTATGGAAGCAAATTGCCACATCTTTCTCCTGTGGAGGCACTGGTGGTTTCGAACGGCTGACCTTCTGGTCAGTGTTCAAGCACATTAACAATTGTGCCACCAGGGCTCCTTCCTTAAAGATCACAGCCTAGAAAACCCTATGGGGGCAGTTCTACTCTGTCACGGGGGCTGCCAAGAGTTGGAATCAACTCCATGGCACCCAGCAACAACAGTCTCCACTTGGTCCTTTCCAACTCTCTTCACTCTGTAGCTCCATCTTTCCTCCTCTTTTCTATCTTCTTCCAAAGAGAGCTGAAGAAACCCTGTGAGGAAGTCAAGCCTTCCTGAGAACTTGCACCTGTGATGGGAGCAGACCTCAGAGGCTCAGGACCTGACATGAAAGCCTCA